CTGTAAGAATTTAACAAAATTTGAATTACACACTAATGCAAGAAGAATCACAAGTCTTAAAATTGGACTTGACCATACTGTGATTTATGGCAATATTCAGAATCCTTAGGAAGAGTAGGGAAATATGGAAAGTAAGGTCAGATTATCTGCTGTCACTAACAGCCCTTGGGCAGCTAAGAAGACTGTCCTGGGTTCAAAATCCACATTTACCTAACAGGAAATCTGAAACCTTCTTTGTTTAACTGAGTCCTATAGCAAAACTCTGAGAAGCAGGCTTGAGATCCCCAAGAAGATCCTCAAGCAGCTCTCAGAGTTCACCACTGCTACCAACAAAACTGCTGGACCATCTTCTTTGATACTCCCCTGATGAAACCTGCATGACTATAATTATCTATATAAACCTCAAAGTTAAATTATGATTATTCCTTGACCTTGATATAGTCACCTTCTTAGCAAATCCTGTCCAAAGTTCATTGTAACTAGTAAAAATAATAGAGGTTGAATTGCCTGCCAAGGGCTTCCTCAAATCGGCAGCCAATGAAGATTTTTGTATCATACATCAGTCTTCTCCAACCTGGTAGCCTCCAGGTTGTGGAGACAGCAAGTCCCAGAAACCCAGCTGTATTTCTGCCAGGCTGGCTATAGCTTCAATACTTCTGGACAGCATCAAGTTAGAGAAAGCTTCCAGATGTTGGAGAACTGGAATAATGGAGCTGGCTACATTACTACTAGACCTTATATACTACAATGGATTAAAAGTTTGAGCAGAGACTTCTTCACACCCAGACCTACACATGAGTCCATGTGGCTGTAAGCAAGTCTCACTTGACTTAATCTTTCTCCCTAAAGGAAAGATGCACAACTCTAGGGGTGGCTATGGGTCAAAACGATCTGTTCGAAGACAAGCTTTTGACCTTTTAAAAAGTGACAAAATATTTAATTTATACGAAACCAACATTTTGTTTCAATTAAAACAATTTACAGCTAATACATCCCAATGTATTTTATAATTCTTTTTTTTTCTGCCACATGAAGCATGACTGGGATTGAGGGGATTGGGGACACCATCTCAAGAATCCTTGCAACCATGCCTCCTATATGTGTGTGCACTGCTTTGAACTCTATAGATTAAATTAAAGAAAGGGTAGCTGCTCCTGCTGATTATGATGATGATGAAGAAGAATATCGGGAGGATTTTACAAGAACCCATGATCCCTCTAAAAAAATTGCTTCCACCAACATGATGAGCTTTTTTTTTGCTGCTGACTTCCTAACCTGAAAAAATGTGGCCATTGTGGTTTATTTCTTAAACCCTTCAGTCCACTTCAGGAAATTCCAGTTAATTATACACAAAAGGGTGTGTGTGGGCGTAGGGGCAGAAGTCTAAGAGACTCGAGGCATTCTTCATGAATAGGAAGGTGAAAAGAGAGAGAGCATCCAAGCCCTCTATGTGTCAAGGAAATTTAACCCTCTTTGGCTGAAGGCCAGGAACTTTTCATGTGGATTGGAAACCTCAGCCAGGAGATTCTCGGGTGCTAGAAAGAATCTTTAATTTAAACCATGTGCCTCTGGAAGAAAGGGGGAAAAAAAACATTTCATGAAAGGCAAAAACTTGGTCGCATTCCCTCAAAACAAAAGGGCAATCACGCACATTTTGACTAAAATATCCCCTTTTTGGAATGCAGCCTTCATGCTTTAAACAAACTCGCTGAAACCTCATCCATTTGGACAATCGGCATGAAACTGAGACTACCCATATTTCTGGAGCCGGAGCAAATGCTTGAGGAGGATGCCAGCTATGTCCGCCCAAAGTTGCAGAGGCCTTACAGTATGGAAAGCAGCACACAGGCTGGCAGGGAACAAAGGAAAGTGGGGTTTGTGGCTGTCAGCCTTCACAGTGGCCTTCCTGGGTTGCTGCTGTCTGCAAAAGTTAACACTGTGAGTGCCATGGGAAGCAAGGAGGCCCACGGAAGATGGCAAGGAATGCCATTCAGACTGCCCATTTGCTGGCTGCAAGGGGCACAGTGGGGACAGAGAGGTGTTGGGGCATCTGTTGCTGCTGTCACACCTTTGTCTACAATCCTTATTCACTTCCTCTTCTAGACTGGGATAATAGAGAATGGTTGCCCAGGGATGATGCTCCCTACATACAAATTCCTGGACATTTAAGAATACACAAGGTAGTCTCTGAATATATATATAAAAAGGATTACTCTGTGAGGGGTCCTGGGTGCTCTCTGAGCTTGGTTATTTTCTTGAAGACATTTCATTACCCAAACTAAGGAACATCACCAGTACTATACAGTACAGTAATGAAACGTCTGCAAGAAAACAACCAAGCTCAGAGAGCACCAAGGGCCCCACCCCCATTTCAAATATTCTCTTTTATTGGCATCATTCTGTATCTTAATGAGATTGGCCCCATGTGATTTCCTGCAGAAAATTCAAGGTTAACTCTAGGGCCTAGGACATCAGAAACAAGATCTCTGGCCTGTCCTTTACAGCATAACTGTATGCTGTAACATACAGCATCCTCTGACTCAGGGGTGGGATTCTACAGTTCGCACCTATTCGCTAGAACCGGTTGTTAACATTCTAAGCAGTTCGGAGAACAGGTTGTTAGAAGAAATTACTGGCCTAATCCTGTAAGGAAGGCAGGAAGGAAACATTCTGGTGTTGCTTACAGAAACTGCCTCTCTGTTAACCCTTATTACATTCTTGGCAGGACTAGACTTCCTGTCTCAGGAACGTCTCTGGAGTTTTTTCCCTTCCTTTGCTGGTACTTTGCTTGTGTGGAGTGACCATTCAAAGTTACAATGGCACTGAAAAAAGTGACTTATGACCATTTTTCACACTTACGACTGTTGCAGCATCCCCACAGTCATGAGAGGCCAGGCGAGGAGATGCGTGCTTCGATGTGAGTGATATTGAGTTGGCCACGCCCAGCTAATAACATGACCACCAAGCCACGTCCATCAACTAAGCCACGCCCACAGAACCAGTTGTTAAAAATTTTGAATCCCACCCCTGCTCTGACCGGCAGCAAGTTTGGGGGAATCTCCCTTCCATTGCTACTTGGAATCACATCTGGAGCTTTATGTTGGTCAATCAAGTCCTCAGTTAACAAATAATGTCTTTTCCCAAGTAAACATCATCGAGCACAAATCATTGGAAAACCCTCTACCATAACCAAAAGGAGACGTAATCATGAATTGCAACTGATTAGATCAGTGGCCCCTAACCTCCATGGAACTGCTCCAGGGACTGGCTCCATGGAGAGAGGTTTTTCTGTGGACCCAAGGGGGCCGCCTGCATCCCGCGGATGGGTCATCACTTGTTTGCACGGTCTGGTTGCTGGTATGCGTCCAAGGAACAGGCATTGGGGACCCCTGGATTAGATGAATGAGGTCTTTTTAAAATCCTCTCCTAGGAGGCCTGCCCACCCACTGTGCCAGGGATAAAAAAATATAAGATCCACCAGGACTCCTGCTTTGTTCCCCACTCTGAGTAGTGAGGCCAAAACTCTAGTCTTTTTCCCCACTCCATTTGGAGGGCTTGGACATTTTAAGAGGTAAAACTGCTCAAGTGCTGTTTGAAGCACTCCCTTCATTCCTTGTCAGAATGGGTCTGGTCCATCCACTTCTGGAAGTCAGCTCTAAACATAGCTCACAAAGTCTGCCCCTCAGCTAACAAACATGGGCTCCTGCCTGATCCTTTTGCTCTTTTGCCCTTCTTAAGAGGAGGACCAGGGGAGACCAGATAGCCAATATCTGAGGGGCTGCCATAGAGAGGAAGGGGTTAAGCTATTTTCTAAAGCACCTGTAGGTCAGACAAGGAATAAATGATGGAAACTGAGTAACCTGGAAATAAGGAGAAACTTTCTGACTGAACAATCAACCAATGGAACACCTTGCCCTCGGAAGTTGTGGGAGCGCCATCACTTGAGACTTTCAAGAAGAGATTGGACTGCCATTTGTCAGAAATGGTGTAGGGTCTCCCACTTGGGCGGGGGATTGGACTAGATGACCTACAAGATCCCTTCCACCTATGATTATCTGTTATCTGTTATGCAAGTGGGGCTAAACTGGACCTCCAGACCTTCTGACTCTCTCTGTCTCCTAATACTTCTGCCTCTACAGTTTGCCAAGGTGGTTGTTTTTTTTTCATAGATATGTCATATGTGGATCATTACAGGAGGAACAGAACACGTGCCGTACATAAAAACAGCCTCTTTTCATATGCAGGTTAAAAAAATACTTCTGGAGAAGAATATGAATATAGCATAGAAGAAAACTGATCTGGTGCAAAGTTAAAGCTCTCTTAATTTCCCTAACAATGCCCCTATCTTCCATCTCCCACCTCCCCATCAGCATCTCCTGAGCCTTTTGCATCAAAAGGAGAGGAGAATGACTCTGAGGCCACTTGTGCAGGAGCCCCTGAAAATTCCAACTTTGCACACCAGAAATAACATAACACAGCAACTCTTGGCTGGGATTTATAAAACACTCCATAAATCTCCAATGAGATTATTTATAGTGCCTTTAATGTCTTTCAGAAGCTGAAAGAAAGTACTCCAAATGCCGGGGAAATGTTCGCTGACATCTATCATGTAATTCTGAATGGGGCAAAATAAATAATAGGCCTCTGTTGCATTTTTGTTCTTTGTATGTATGGCATAATCAGCATGTATGATCATTGCCGTGCTGAGAGTTTTCAGCCAGGGCTGCCATTGGTTGCACTATGGGAATTGCAGTTCCTAACACATCTGAAGGGGCCCTGGGAGAGAAAGGTTGCCAGAATAAAGCTAGAAACATTAAAAAGTAGACCTAAGCAACTGAAACTCTATAAAATTTGCGCTAGGCACAATATTATGCTAAAGCTTTCTACATTTGTTCTGTTTAACTACATGTAATAACTAAGAAATATGAACACGATAATCTATTTCTCAGCTGTTGTCAGCAGAAAATTGCTTTTTGTTAGAGAATTAATTTCTGACTTACCCAGCTAAAACTATAAAAAAATCCAGACGATTCCACGTGTCTCCCAGGTAGCACTTCTTCCCAAAGATCCCCAAGGCAATCATCTTGATTATCATTTCCACCGCAAAGAAGGCAAAGATAAAATCATCAAAACTCTGGAAGATAAAGAAGCAGGATTCTTGACAAAAATCCGAGCTGGTGACAGTTCATTTTTCAAGAAATCTGACCCAATCTGTTCTAAGGCCATCTTCCATCACAATGTTATATGCTCCTAAAGACAACTCTTGCCATATTTCTAAGTGTAAAAGAATGATGGGTAAGGAAATTATTTCATTCCCCAGAAGTGGGATGAAAGTGCACTGCTATATGAATTGGATGTTTCCTCATCTCCAGTGCCAAAGTGAGTGCAGAAAGCCTGTTCAAGTTGGCTATGAGTCTCCAGCAACAACCAGATTTATTTAGGTAAGAAGCCAAGATCTGAACAACCTAGACTATGAATTACCCTCAAATGACAGATTGTTTGCCCCAGTTTGGGTCAAAAACAACTCCCCTGTATTTTGACAGTGGGAATTGGTGGTTTTGCTTCCTCTTTAGATCCAAATTTCAGTTCCCAGTGGATCTCCCACACTGAATAATGTTTGGATTTGAGGCAAATTCCCCATCCCAAATAAATGTTTGGCTCTAAGTATTTTAATTCCTGCTAGTTTCTGCAGTAAATTTAGCATTTACTGCTTTCCTTGGATATATGTCATGAAAACTATGCATGTGGATAGCTCAAGAATGATAGGTAAGAAATCCATCTTGATGTTTTACCCATATGGCAAACAGACCAGAGAGAGAATTGCATCTAACAGAACTTCCCTACATCCATGGAATGTAGGATACAGGATGTAAGGTCTTAAATCAGGTGAAAACATTTGCCATGAGAGCTATTCTCACTCAGACTTGCATATCATGTTCCTTATTTCTTTATTTGGGAAAATTTATATGACCTACAAACTCATTTTATTTGGGAAAATGTATATGACCTACCACTTTCAGTGACTCCGGGTAGCTTACAAACATAAAACCCAATATTAAAAAAAAAACAATAATAAGCAATAATCCCCACCCCTACCCCTGATGAGAACAATCAGTCAATCAAATAAGCCACTTGTTGAGCTCCATCCAAATCCAGGTTCTCTGCAGTAAACCTACATGGACTTGCAAAAGAGTGTCAAAGTGCAGGCCAATTTTATCTCCTCAGGGATAGGGAGGGAGCCACCATGGACAAGGCCTTACTTCTTCATCCTGCTAGGTCAGAGCTCTCCAAATATGGCAACTTTGAGACTTGTGGACTTCAACGCCCAGAATTCCTCAGCCAGCCATGCTGAGGGAACCTGTAGCATTTCCTGCCTCCCTGCTCTGGTGGGACAGATAGATGTGGACCAGGAAAAACAGTCCTTCAAATAAGCTGGTCCCAAGCCATGTAGGACTTTGAAGGTGACAAACAGCACCTTGAATTGGACCCAGAAACAAATTGACAGCCAATGCAGCTCCAGAAGGAGACATGACACATATGCACATTTAGGCCTGCACAAAACCATGCAGGCCACTGCATTTTGGACCAATTGAAGCTTCTGGATACTTTTCAAGGGCAACCCCATATAGAGTCATAGTTGGTCCTTTAAACAAAAGAAAAAGAAAGCTTGAGATGTTAGAGATTGAACCTGAAGCCTGATGCAGTCAAAACATGAGCTTCTTTCTCCATTGAGCTAAAGCCCCTCTTTCTTTTATTACACTTTGACAAACTGGCATAAAGATAAAACAAATTTTACCTGGAGGATCTTGCAGCGTGGAGAGTCGCAGCCCATGTCTTCACAAGGGTGGAACATGCCCAAAGTGACACAGTTCAGGAGAATTACCAGCATACTGATTCTTTCAAACCAGGTGCAAAAGAGGTCAGTCAAGGAAAAGACCAAGTTTAGAAAATGAAACACATATTCTAAGGGAAAGACATGGAGGCAATTTTATGCATATTTAGTTAAGGCACTATAGAAAAGAGTAGCCAAAACATGTTCTGTGTGAATTTGAGTGCCAGTGTCTTCCTGTAACAGTAACAGTCCTACTTCTTTGTAATTTTTCTTCTCCAGAAAGAAAATCATGTATCTTGCTCCTACCAACCAGACACACCGATATGCACCCCAGTTCGTATTGCAGTTTTGTAAAACACACATTTTACCTGCTTCCTATCTTTGGCCAGCATATCCTGGGGAAGATATGAGGGTTAAATGAAAAATAATGCCTCCACCTCTATAACTTTACATTTGGAATATTTTAATACATGCATTAAGAAAATAATCTTTGAAATGAGAGCTCTTTACTACTTGTATTTACTTCTCCATATAATGCCACCGTTTATTGCACTTCTGCAATAAATTGACAATTGGCAGGTTAAATAATGCTATCATAAAAGAACCCCATACTTTGTCTCTTCAACTATGTCAAGACAAACCTTTCCACCTCTTCTTCTGAGTCAAACACAAATGTATTTCTTCAATTTTGGGGAAAAGGTGGAAGCACCAAGTTGGGTCTATAGAGTAGATGAAGTTAAAAGGTAACAATCAACTTCAGGTTAGTTTCTTGGGTAGCTCATGACATATGAGGCCAAGTAAGGTGATGTTGTATCAAAATTTCCTTCTTGCACTTCCAAACTGCTTAAACACTGTTTAAAACTTTTGGGTGTTGCAATTAGTGCTCTGAGTTGATAGTAGTGCCAGGTTTAAGAAAATCTATTTGACTAATGGATTTTCCGCAACTCCCAAACCAAGAGTTTTCTTGCAAAGGTCTATATGTTAATCCCGCCCCCCAAAGGTTTCAAGATAATATTCATGGACTGACACTTCATCTGTGGTTAATAATGATGAGCCTATTTCACTGTCTATTGTGATCTGTGGAAGAAATGTCTCACCTTCATTTCTGTAGTGTGACAACTATTACTGCAAAATGTCAACCCTTAAAAGTTTTATGTGAAATAAAAAACTTTTTTTATTTTTCTCTACCCTCAGCATTCAAGAATCCTTCTTGCCCAGACCTTCTGATATTGAACAATAATAATGAAGATCATTAATGTGATCAATAAAGTGATCCCACACATTCTTGTGAAAAGCAAAGCTTGACAGCAATTTCACTTTGAGTGATCAGCTGATTGTCTTCAATTAGTTCATCCACCTATCTCATATGAAAATCATTAGTTGCTGTCACAGGTCACCTATTTTGTCCTTGATCATAGAAAATCAGGTCTTCCTGGTTTACCATTTTGACATTTTTTTTGGTCCAGTGATCCATAATATATCAACATAGTCATCACCATAAACATCCTGCACTGAGTGGTACTTTTCAGTTGGAAGCAGATTTTCAATAGTCAAAAATGGAACCATGGCACACCAGTATTCACTGAGTGCTTTGCATCTGAGGGCAGGACGAGAAGCAATGGATGGAAACTGATCAAGGAGAGAAGCAACCTAGAACTAAGCAGAAATTTCCTGACAGTTAGAACAATTAATCAGTGGAACGACTTGCCTCCAGAAGTTGTGAATGCTCCAACATTGGAAGTTTTAAAGAAGAGATTGGATAACCATTTGTTTGAAATGCTATAGGGATTCCTGCCTAAGCAGGGGGTTGGATTAGAAGACCTCCAAGGTCCCTTTCAATTCTGTAATTCTATTCTCTTTCATGAACAATAACATGAATGTGTTCTCACAGCAACTTCCTGAAGCAAAATAACAGATACAGAGGAACCACTTTTGTGTAGTGGTTAAAGCATTAGGCTAGATACCAGGAGATTGTGAATTCTAGTCCCGCTTTGGCCAGCTGGGTGACCTTGGGCCAGGCACTTTTTCTCAATCCCAAGAAGAAGGCAATGGCAAACTCCTGAAAAATCTTGCCAAGAAAACTTCAGGGAACGCCAAGGCAGTCTCCAAGTATCAGACAATACTGAATGAAGGAATTGAAAAAATAAAAGGACATGGCAAGGCTTCTGGTGTAATACCACACCTGTTGGTTACTTATATTATTGGAGATATTAACTTTCATTCAACCCTTGTAAATTTGTACCAAAGGACCCTCACTCGGTGAACAGGTGGGAGAACAACAAAATGTGCATGGATGTCATTATATTCCAGAAATAATTAACAAAATATTCCAGAAATAAATTCTATGAAGGTTTGTTGCAAAAAAAAAAAAAAAAATACTTGTATGAAGGTGGTAAGTGTTCTTTTGTAGCAACTTTATGGGGCTGATTCAGAAAATTACAATAGTACTGTATAAAGAGAAATGATTAGATATTCCTACAATCAATAAAGAAGAATATTTGTAGCTCAGGGCTGAAATGAAGGAGCCTTGGTAATCTCTGACCTTGGTTATTGTTGTTGTTTTGGTCAACTAGCACTGGGTAATCATTACCCATTCCCAAGTCATTTATTGGGTAACACTTGTCAACCAATACCCAATACATTGAGTAATACTTGTAAAAGACAGAAAACAACCAAGTTCAGAGAACACCAAGGACCCCTTATTTCTGCAGTGCCAAGCTGGGATCTCTCTATGGTTGCTAGAATAAACAGGAAAATGGTGGAAGATTTGATCATCAAGCATCCCATATGGGAGACACTGAGCAGAAGATATGGCTTGCAGTGGAACAGCCTATATCCTAAAATCTTATTCACTCTGTTCTTTAGAGGCAAACTACAGGGCTTAATTGATCTTTGACTTTAGCTGTCATGTACCAAGACCTTAATTCACTTTCTCCATCAGTCAACTAAGGAGCAGGGGGAGCAATCAGGAGTAGTCCCTGATGTTTTTAACAACAAATGAGTGATGTGCAGATACATTACTGGAAGGAGAGAGGTCAACCTCCTATCAACTCCTCAAACCTACCAGAACCTCTAGCCATTTTTCCTTGTTGATAAGTTGATATGATGGCTGATCAAAAGCAAAAAGATATTTTCCTGCAGTTAATAGCAAACCATGCAACAATGAGAACAAGGGGAAAGACTTCTTACTTTCTAATCCTTCCTAGTAGTATCATATTATAGACTGCTAGTCTTCTCCCACCATGAAGAGTAGTTTTGTGTGTGTGTGTGTCAAAAGCAAATCTGCATATATTTACATGGCGATGAGGCCCCTGGCCCAGTTCCTAAGGAGCCAGCTGGAGCCAGGAAAAATTCTCAGTGTTTTAACATTTATGACAGCTGTGGCAACAAGGCTGCCTGAAGTTTGAAACAGGAGTTTAGAATACAGTAGTTCATCGTGACAGGTTTGTATGGAACATTTGTAATGAACAAGCAGGTGGAAAGGAAGGTAGGCAAATCTACGGGAGAGAAGGAGGGAGGAAAGGAGCTCTCTTGGAATTCAAGAGACTGTTAGAGATTCCTCAATTCCCTTCCCCTTTCTTCTCCCTAATTGCATAGTGGCAAAGACAGCCCCTTGTTCTCTCTGTATTTTCAATTACAAGATTCCCAAGCAAATGCATATTTCCTCTTTCTTCTTGCACATTCTTTCCATTAATGATAAATAATAATAGGTTGTAAGAAGCAGAGATGACTTTAAAATTACATAAAAGAGGGTGAGAGTAAAATTGAAGGAAAGAATTGTAACAAATGCTTCCAGGCCAAGCAATTTTAAAAAAAACCCTACCCAGCAGTATGTAGACCTTCCTTCCATGGAGAGGTACCGTGTTTCTCATATAATAAGGCCGGGTCTTATCTTTTTTTGAGCCCCGAAAAAATGGCTAGGCTGTCTTTTCGGGGGGTGACTTAATTCCCCCCCTTGCATCTTCGGGCGGGCGGGCAGCGACGGCTTAGATGTTGACCTCGGCGTTGGTGGGGCACTTCGTCAACGCAGGCAGCACCATATCCGGGTGTGCAACAGAAGTGCTTCCTAACGGCAAGACCCCCCCCACCATTCCCCCCAATTTTGCATGTTTTAATATAGGCCTTAATTTGGGGGGAGGGGCTTAATTTCATTTCATGCCTATAAAACATGCTGGGACTTCCTATTGGGGGAGGCCGTATTGTTGGAGAAACAGGGTATTACCTATTTTATATTGTCCTTCACTGAAATTTCTCCATGAGGAACATAGAGTAAGCTCAGATGAATAATGAAACCGCATACGTAGATATATTTTTCCTTAGATGTTTTTCAGTTTAAATGTCTTGAGGGTTATTGCTATTTCATAAATATAACTAAGCAGCTTGCCTTACACTAAGGCAATTCTGTTGGGATGACTCAGTATTCAGTGACTGGGGAGATTATCATAGAAGAAAAGTGAGGAGAATGTCTGCATAGAAGAAAGACTTGAGATTTGAATGATAACTGAATCTACTCATGTTCTTTCACTGAAAAAGGCTGAATCTAAATTTTCTCTACAACCCCCCCCCACACACACACATGTGCACACACACGGTATTATTTGAGAGCCAGTTGGTGTAGTGGTTATGGCATCTGACTAAAAACTGGGAAATTGTGAGTTCTAGTCAATCCTCAGGCACTAAGTTGACTGGGTGACTTTGGGCCAGTTGCTCTCTCTCAACCTTAGGAAGGAGGCAAGAACATATCATCAAGCCCTTGTCAAGAAGATTTCAAGGATTGTCCAGGCAGTTGCCAGGAGTGAAAAACTGATTTGAAGGCGTGTGTGTGTGTCTTTCTGTGTGCGTACATGTGTTTGTCTACACACACACACACACACACACACACAGAGCACATTCAGAGCCATGCACAAGCACGCACACACACATATCAAGTATTATTCAGTCTCTCTTTGTCAATCATATTATAACAACTAACGAAGCCCAATCAATATTTTTTCAGTAGGATGACTTATATCATAAACTCACTACCCTATGATCATGGTGATCCAATTTCTAATTTCAGATTAAATATCATGTGAC